TCCAATACTTAAATAAAGACTTTATGCGATACTAAAATAATCATATTGAATTAAGCATATACTATAGCCTAACTACCTTCTACACTGCTGAGGAAAAAATTCTGTAAGTGGGCTAATAGGATATTTAGTCTATTATATTTTCTTTCTCAAAATAGTATCAGTCTGCATTATTCATCATTCAAATAAATTCTCTTTTTACTTTCTTTAGAAATATCTTACTTCTGGTAAAATTTCGAGAAGAGTAGTATGGCATGAGAAACTTCGATCATATTGATTCTTTACAAATGCAACAGCCCATTCGATAATACTTTTCAGCTCATTTTGAGATATTCAGGAATTGTCTTCGATTTCTTGATAGATAACAAACCCAGTGGTAATATTCTCTTCCTTAGCATTTAACAAGAAATTATAAATTTTAGTATATAAATTGGCAGGCATGATAAAAAAAAGTTATAATAGTCATCACTCCAGTATACTATCCTTTTAAATGACTCTATTTACGTTCTCTTTGAGCTTGTATTCATATTAGGAAGGGGAGACAGGAGAATATGCAATAGACCCTTATGTTAAAATTTTGCATTAGAGAATAAGGATATGTGAAAATATGCATTGAAGATCTTGACATTTAGAAAGATATTGGGGGCAATGCATATATAGATTTTTTTGCATCTGTCTGGATATACTATTATTAGGAAAGATTATCTCCTGCAGGTCTATGACTGAAGGAGAGATCGATTTATGTGTGAAATTATTTTGTTACAAGCAGATGGTCGCACTTGTACAAATGATTGGCAGTATATTACTATTATATCATATATGCAGAACAATATTTTATTAAGATAATATTCAGAATCTTTCTCAAAAAATACTTTATTAAAATTGTTATACAGTATATTGCTGAGGATCTAACTCTGCAGTAGGTGATACATTTCACAATTTTATCAAATGATCATGCAGATTATATAACGCAAAAAATAAAGAATGTTAAACGAATGTGATTTTTATCCTATCTTTCAATCTTAATGTAGGCTGATTAAGATAGTTTATAGATGGTAAGGTTCCAGCCAAAAGCGCTCAAAACAAGAGATCTAGTAAATCATTTTATTTTGCATATAGAGACGAGATAAATATTTTGTCCGTATCATTTTGCATTTCGATAGCTGATAAGTAGTTGGTGAAATATTTTCTTGCCTGGCAGATGAAATACAAGCTGGCTCAGGAGCACTTGGCATAGTATTTTTTGTCATAGTTGCCTTAGCCGAAAGATAAGCTTCATAGCTGATTGAACGAGTATCATAATCATATGATACCGATGCTAATTTATCCTTTTCTGAATGTGAAATAGATTGAGAGAAAAGCTCTAGGCGGAGACGAGTAATTTTAACCTCTTCTTGTAATATATATTGTTTATATTGCCAGATCTTAAATTCCTTTGTATCGATAGATTTGAGAATTTCATTTTTTCTTATACGTTCATTCGAAATAGTATTTTCAGAAATATATCTCTTCAAGTAGCTATCATGATAAATACGAGGATTATAGCCAGTTCTAAATATGAAAACTAAGGAGTTATATACACTACAATAAATATAATCAGTTGGATAACCATTGTGAACCTTATCATTTTTATAAAGCTTTTCATATATTATAATATATCCATTTTTAGAAAGGATTCTTGAATTCTCTTTAAGTATTTTTTTAAATAAATCACGAATACAAGAGCATCACATTTCTGGTATTTCGTGATCATGTCTTTTTATTAAAGGCAATATTGCATCAAGTATTCTTCAGAGCCTCCATAAGTATTATTTTCATCAATTAGCTTAGAATAGGTTCTACTATCTAAATCCATAATAGTGTTTTAATAGATTATAATAGATTATAACGATTTTATAGTATTTTTAGTGATTTTAGCAATTTCACTGTGTTTTATCGATTTATAGTGATTTATAACAGTTTATAACAACTATATTATAATAAAATATTGGATTCATTTTTATTCGATTACAAGCATATCAGGATTTATATAGGGTCATATCTCGGGTTATATTTACACACATATGTACGACGCCTAGTTAAATCAGTTTGTAGTATGACATATATCATATCACATGTATCATCCTAGATCCCTGTTAATTCCTCAATAGTTCTAGAAGAGTTCCAGGAGCTGGCGAGTTTCTATAAATCACGAGATGATCAGTCAATAAGATTTTGGATTTTTTCTTCAGCCAGCATAATGGGAATTCAGAAAATATCTTTTTTTGAGCAAATAGTAAGGAAAAAAGAGGTGATTTTATATTCATACAGATTAGTTTGTGGATCTCTCATGAATATATGTATCATTTTATTTATTTAATAAGCGTTCATATAGCATTTACAGACACATATAAATAAAAAGGAAAAAGACCTGATATGGGCAAAACTTTATTGATTTAACTGCATCATGCTTTACAATACAACATATATAAAACTACATTCGAAAGTCTATAAAAAAACTAAAATACAAGTGTTAAGGGTGTCCTAGTGTATAGAACAGTATCACCTGACTATAGCGTAGTAATAATAGCTATTTCTCAAAATTCTTTATGATGTATGTGACCTCACTTCTCGTTAGATCCAAAAAACTATATGCAGTAAAAGACTTGATACGAAGAATCTTATCTTCCCCTATTGCACTAAAGATATCATAAATTTTTCTAGCTGTATCTGTTCTCTTGCGTACTATACCATTATTCGCATTTTCTGGAAGTTTTTTATTAACTTCTTTGTTAAGCTTTGTATGCATTGTTTGCGAAAGGTTGCTTTGCAAAAGTATAGCTAATCATTCTGATAAGGCTTTTCCAAATTGAAAATAAAAACAAACTAAATCTCTATTAGTCTGATTCCTATTTTTTTTGCATCATTAATCTCATAATATAATTTATGAAATTGATTCAAAACTTTTTTCATGTCAGAACCTTCGGAAGGGGTACCAATTGATACTTCTTTAGCTAGGCAGATGGACAGCTCACGAATTATAGTTTGTACTTTTGTATTCCTAAATTTACGCAAATCATCTTTTCTCTTCCTTTTCTTGGATGCTCCATCGAAAGTAGGTAAAATATAATATTCTTCTTTTTTAAGATCATCAATTAATGGGCATTTGGGACACAGTTTACTCTTATTACCAATATATCTGAAATGAGCCTTATGTCTGTATAGTAGCAGTACGACTGGTGTAGATACAGAAGCATCAAGCCTTAATAGAGGCACTTTAGAGATTATTTCAGAACACTTATCGTAAGCTTCTTCAAACAGATCATCAAATTCAAAATCCTTTAAAAGCAATAATGGATCACTATCTTCCTTCATGTCACATGAGCAATATAACGTTCCTCTCTTATCAGTTCCTCTCATACAAGTCTGTAGACTATATCACTATAAATGTTTAACATGAGAGATCTAGGTAGGTCTTCTGTTAAAATAGGAGTATCACATTCCATACATGACTCATAATCTTAGATAGATTTATTAGATTTAATCAATGAAAAATCTGGTTCTTCATGAAGAATATTCTCTGAAAGGTGTTTTAATATGTAATGCGAGTAATTTTAGGGTTTTATTGCATTTTGGTTGTACTCCGTAAATATCTCTGCTTTGGGTAAAGGTGTTTATGATACCTTCCATTCCCTCAATACCCTCCATATTGATATTGTCAGTAGTGATCTCTGTCACATCAAATGGAACTTCTGTGTTAGCTGAGCTCTCTTGATTCACCATGATATCGTTTTTCAAAAAATAACTATGTAATTTCTCATACAATGTTCTGCTTTTATAGCACTTATAAATTTCGTAGGAGAAAACATTCCCCAGATTTTCACCACTAATTACGCACTACATTTCGTCATTACATTATTCCTTCTCCCTATAAATCGATAAAAATGACTTTATGATTAGCATATACTCCAAATCCTATATGCGAAATAATGATTGCTGGAAAAAATATCCATACCCAAATATTGTTTTACTGATATGATAATAGTGTGACCAGAGGTATGACACGAAAAATAAAGTCAAAAACATTATGCGAATATATATGCAAATCGCATATTGCACAGCCCCTATTTTTCGGCAAGAATTTTACTGATATCTTCTGCGTATTTTGCCTTAGTATCTTCGGTCAGGTGATCGGTCTCACATGATGAAATTTCTATGCTACGATCGCGAATTTGAATTTATTACTTGAAGTAAAGCAAGTAAAATAATATTCTGTTTTATATCATTCGCCATGTAATCCATAATTCCCATGTTTTCCATTGCAAATAGAACATGGTGAACTCCACAGCTGAAGTGATGCAAAATTATAATTATCAATTCCTCTGAAATTATTTCAAAATTTCAGATATGTGAAATGCTTTAAGACAGATTTGATAATTAATTCTGGATCGGGTTTGACATTAAAGGTGATAGGCTTGAAACCAGAGGCTTAAGGTTTTGCTGACATTATCACAGCTTTTGATAATTGCTATGGCTCATTTCCAGTTTCTTTTTTATATCTTTTGTATAAATTGGAATGAATCTTATTCATCAAAATGCTTGATAACCCAGTTAATTTGGTATGCTAATTCAAGTATTCAGGAGATAATATTTTATCGATCTTGGACATATCTTTTTATATGATTGCAAATCAATTTAAATTAGGTAATAGTCAACATAAATTAGCTTTGTAAAAAAATATCACAATGAAGTGTAAGCAAATATAGTATTGTAAAATAATGAGACTATACAACTATCTCAATTTCGCGCTGTTCACATTTAATAAAATAAGATCTGACTTTATATCTACCTTTTATGCTGTCATTATCATCATAATCTAAACTGCATAATGGACATGATGTCTTATCAGTAATTCCATAATAATCAAAATTTTCGCTACTAAATTCTCTATATAAATTAGGATATTAATCCAATGTTTTGCTATGAAAATAGGATTGATCATAAGTTGGCTTAGATTGTGCTTTCAGAGGAATATATGTATTAGTCAAATTAATTTTTGAAGTTACATAACTCTGATCGTGAAAAATCTTCACAGTTTCATTGTGTGAATTAGTGTTCTGCAAAATCAGATCAAATTAGATTTTATTCAAATCTGATCTGATCTGATTTTCGTTTTTCAAGATCTGAATCTGATCTGAATTTGACAGATCTGTTGAAATCCAGATCTGATCTGAATCTGATGGATCAAATCTCAAATCCAGATCTGACGGATCAATTTAAATCCAAATCTGATCCAATCTGAATCTGAAAGCTTTATTGAAAAAATGAATTTTCAATTCTAAATGAGATCTGAAAATGTTTCTTTTCAATAAAAGGAACCTTTTCAGCTCTAAAAGAGTTTCAAAAATTCGTTCCTTTTCATTAAAAGGAACCTTTTCAGCTCTAAAAGAGTTCTAAAAATTTGTTCCTTTTTATTGAAAGGAACCTTTTCAGCTCTAAAAGTGTTCTAAAAATTCGTTCCTTTTCATTTAAAGGAACCTTTTCAGTTTTAAAAGAGTTCTAAAAATTCGTTCCTTTCAATAAAAGGAACTTTTCAGCTCTAAAAGAGGTCTAAAAATTTGTTCCTTTTTAATGAAAGGAACTTTTCAGTTCAAAAAGAGGTCCAAAAATAAATTCATTTCAATGAAAGGAACTTTTCAGCTCTAAAAAGGTCTGAAAATTCGTTCCTTTTCAATAAAAGAAACTTTTCAGCTCTAAAAAAGGTCTGAAAATTCATTCCTTTTCAATGAAAGAAACAAATTTTCAGATCTAAAAGTGTCTGAAAATTCGTTCCCTTTCAATGAAAGGAACTTTCAGCTCTAAAAGAGATCTGAAAATTAGTTCCTTTTCAATGAAAAGAACTTTTAGCTCTAAAAGAGATCTGAAAATAAATGCCTTTTCAATGAAAAGAACCTTTTCAGCTCTAAATGAGTTTCAAAAATTCGTTTCTTTTCATTAAAAGGAACCTTTTTAGCTCTAAAAGAGTTCTAAAAATTTGTTCCTTTTCATTGAAAAGAACCTTTTCGACTCTAAAAGTATTCCAAAAATTCGTTCCTTTTCATTTAAAGAAACCTTTTTAGTTCTAAAAGAGTTCCAAAAATTTGTTCCTTTTAATGAAAGGAACTTTTCAGCTCTAAAAGAGGTCTAAAAATTCGTTCCTTTTCAATGAAAGGAACTTTTCAGTTCTAAAAGAGGTCCAAAAATAAATTCATTTCAATGAAAAGAATTTTTCAGCTCTAAAAAGGTCTGAAAATTCGTTCCCTTTCAATGAAAGAAACTTTCAGCTCTAAAAGAGATCTGAAAATTGATTCCTTTTCAATAAAAGAAACTTTCGGCTCTAAAAGAGATCTGAAAATAAATGCCTTTTCAATGAAAGAACTTTTCAGCTCTAAAAAAGGTCCAAAAATTTGTTCCTTTTCAATGAAAGAAACAAATTTTCAAATTTAAAAGAGATCCGAAAATTCATTCCCTTTCAATGAAAGAAACTTTTCAGTTCTAAAAGAGATCCAGAAATTCGTTCCCTTTCAATGAAAGGAAACAAATATTTGGCTCTAAAGAAGTCTGAAAATTCGTTCCCTTTCAATGAAAGGAACTTTTTAACTTTAAAAGAGATCTGAAAATTCGTTCCTTTTCAATAAAAGGAACTTTTCAGCTCTAAAAGAGATCTGAAAATAAATTCCTTTTCAATGAAAGGAACTTTTCAGCTCTAAAAAAGGTCTGAAAATTCGTTTCCTTTCAATGAAAAGAATTTTTCAGTTCTAAAAGAGATCCAAAAATTGGTTTCTTTTCAATGAAAGGAACTTTTCAATTCTAAAAGAGATCTGAAAATTCATTCCTTTTCAATGAAAGGCTCTAAAAGAGATCTGAAAATTGGTTCCTTTTCAATGAAAGGAACTTTTCAGTTCTAAAAGAGATCTGAAATTAGTTCCTTTTCAATGAAAAGAACTTTTCAATTCTAAAAGAGATCTGAAAATTGGTTCCTTTTCAATGAAAGGAAACAAATATTCAGCTCTAAAGAAGTCTGAAAATTCATCCCTTTTCATTGAAAAAGAATTTTTCAGCTTTAAAAAACTTGAATTCAGATCCGACGGATCAGATCTGAATCTGAATCTGAATCCAACAGATCAGATTCGAATCTGAATCTAAATCTGACGAATCAGATCTGAATCTGTATCTGAATCTGACAGATCTGATCTGATCTGAATCCGAATCTGACAGATTCGATCTGAATCTGATCTGTCAGATTCAGATTAGATTTAGATCAATCTGAATCCGTGCGGAACACTAATGTAAACTTGTCACTGAATTCACATGATCTATAATATTTTGTATTTGTGGATAACTGAGGCTTAAAATAGCATCTGCACTATAAGAGACTTGTTTAATTTTCTCTATTCCTAATGTATTAAATAATTTATATAATTTTCTAGCTCTAAGGATTTTTTGGCGCAAATTCACATCTGTTATATCAGGTAAAAGCTGTTTGATTTCTTGATATACCATAGATGTTGCAATTTTTTTCTTAACTCCATCAGCAACAAAGTTATCAATCATTTTGTCATATTTCTCTATAAAATAGCACCAGTATAAAATTGCTTCTTGACCAACCTTAATGGCTTTCCTAAACATGCAAGCTATATTTTGCGCAATATCTGATGAGCTCGAGTCCTGTTCTAAAATTTGATCTGATGAAAGAGTGTGCGCAGGTGACGATAACTGTTGCTTTAACTCCTATTCCACAATTATATTTTTATCCAACTTGGCAATTACTTCATCATGCTGATCGGGTTTAAGTTCCTCCATGTCACATGACTTTGATCGTGAAGAATCTTCACGGTTTTCAAGATTACATGCTAATTTGGATGCATTAACTTGCGGTTGCTTTGATAAGACGCAAGATGCTGATCTTATGTTTTCAGAACTAGCCTCATAAGATTGTGATAAGTCTTGCTCGTCTTGCTCTGAAGTTAACATGTCCGTGACCTCAGGAATTTTAGTCACATCCTGAGAAATTACGAGTACCTCTTGCTCTCTGCTTCTTTTCCCGCCTCCTCTCTCTAATCTCATTGCTAATGCTTTTCTTATACGCCTCATCCAAGAAATCGACCATTTTCTCATCGTTACCATCAAGGTCACTAGGTGCTCGTCCTACTTCATTATTGAGTTTGTCTATTACAGAATCAGGTACATCAACAGTTGGTACCATCACCACTGGCATCGCTTCTTCACCATTTTGTGTCCGACCAAATGACAACGCCATCCCATCCACTGCTGAACTCTGTTCTAATAATGCAAGTCTAGCCTCAAGCTCTCCGACTCTAGACTTGAGTTCAGCATTCTCAGAATCACGCCTTGCATTCTCTTCAATAATTTGCTTCAGCTTCGCGTTCTCAGCCTCAACCTCAGCAAATCTTAGTAACTTTTAAGTTCAGGAATCTCAACATTCTCTTTCCTAAGTTTGGCGATCTCAGCTAGGAGCTTGGCATTTAATTCTCTCAATGAATCAGTGGATTGCATGCATGTTCGATGATAATTTTTTATATGAGATGGAATAATTCAAAAGTTCGTTAGCATAGATAAAAAAACGAGGTGATATCCTCATCGGAATTACTGATTTATTGATATAGAAAATAAAATTACATGACTCGATGATACATAGACTTGTTTTACAAAGTGAAACGGTGTTTCTATACTAATGCCTGCCGGTGTTTCGTTCATCTAAGCTATCTAAGCTATCTATATACTAACATATCCCAAAATTAACTCTAATCCGATTTCATTTGTCTCAACGTCGATATTCTGGATAGAATAAAATGGTCGTTAGGTCAGAAATAAATTAACAATATTGACCTTAGTAAAACTCACCGAAAGTTCATGTTCTCCGCCTAATAAGATTCTCTGAATTCTGAACAAAAAAATAGATATTAGCTTTCACTTCCTTGCAAATGCACGAAATATTCATACCTGAATTGCGTAATGTCTCCTCCGGAGCTTCAACAATTCTTTCGTCAACACTTCTTTCAAACTGCGATACGTCCAGTTCTTTTAAACCGGAGAAAAAGCTTGGTAATGCGCTTTTACTTTTTTAAATCGTTCTGTTGCACGAACAACTAAATTAGTCAAATAAGGAACAAGTTCGAAAATTTTATATAAATATCCGGATTGTTTGCCCTGATGAAAAAATTTTCGTCTTTATTCGTAATAAAAATTTGCGCAAAATGCTGATTGATCGGACATGAATTACCGTCTGGTTATTTAAGGCAATAAAGAATAATATTGCTATCATATTTCGTCGTCATGTGTTACCGATTACAAAATAATATGTCAAATCGTGTTCATCATGGAAAAAAAAAGGTATGTGACGTATCGTATACTCGTATGACTCAAAATTATCAATTGAATTTTTAGATATATAAATGTCGCATCCTCAATAACTCTTTTTCAAAAACTTATTCTTATTCTAATTTTGTTCAAAGATATATCGTCGAAATGTCATTATTTTTTGTCCCTTTAACTTCTCCTCTTCTTGATCCTATTCCGATTAACATTTCCGAAACAATCACAATTAATGACCAAGAAAAGCCTAAAGATAATTTCACCATTGGAGATCTCAAGATTATTATATGGGGTATTATAGGGGACAATAGCAATAGCAAAGACTTTTTTAAATTGAAGTTATGGAAGGTGGATCTTGAGGAAGGAAAAGGAAAATGGAAAGAACTTGAAACACTTGCAAAGTCTTCTTATACCGAAGCTGAAATAGAAAATTTCGGAGGTATAAAGTTATTAACAACCAGTAAAGTTGTAGAAGTTTTTGGTAATGTTTCAAGTAACAAAGTCCGCATCATCGTTCAAATGCCACCTTCGCCCGCCACCACTGGTAAGTGTCTCCCAATGGTTTACCGTACCTCTCGAACAAGAAATTCGCGTTATCTCACATTCTATTTTTTTTCGGTTAGGGAAAAGGAAAGCGGAAGAGGGCAGGGAAGGTGGAAACCGAAAGAAGGAGAAGACTGAATATCCTGCAGAGTCAAAAGAAGGTCGTGACAGTCTTTTAGCTATTCATGAAAGACTGAATAAGATAATTGACTTCGTAGAAGGAAATCGCGTTAGTCTTTTGCGCAGTCCTCCATCATCGGGTAAAAGCACTCTCGGTCAGACACTCCGAGATCATTTCCAAGCCAATTGTTTTTCCATATATATTAGTTTTGCCGGATTAAGTAATAAAGCATGTAAAGATGAAGAACTTTTTGACAAATTCTGGGAAAAAGAAGTGGGCTATACCTGGACAAACATTATTGAAAAAGAACCCGCTTACATATTCATTGACGAAATACAAATAATCTATGGTGAATGTGCTCAACACTTTTGGGGTAGCATAAAGACGATGATGTCAAGCGAATGCACTAAAAATATTCATATTCTTCTTATCGGTACATATGACACAACTCTTGGGGTAGCGTTAACACCCGTGAAATTTGGTGATAGTCATTCACTTAGTTTGAAAGACCTACTTTTAACAAGGAATGAGCTTAAGAATCTTGTAATGAATTATTCTCAGATTCGTGCTATCAGTGGTAGCCCAAAGTTTAAAATTCCTGAGGTAATTGAGAATGCAATCTTTAGGCTTACTAATGGACATGCTGGTCTGTGTCGAATAATTTTGGATTCATTACACAACCATTTCAAAAATGGACCCTTAGCTTTGGAAATGTTACGTCATCTTGCATCAACAAATCTAAAAAATTATTTATATACAGAGTCACGTGCTTTATGTTGGATCGCTAACTGGGATATGAGTGCTAATGATAGTGAATTAATTCGAGATATGATATATACCACTCGAAATGGAATCACCTCTAATTTTGAATGTGAAAATCCTATCATCAAGAATTTTCTTAAGATAGGTCTACTCGTAAAGGATGTGAATTCTACACAACCAAAATTCACTGCTCCCATTTTGCTAATAATTCTAAGTTACCATATGATCGATTCTAATTTAAAAAGTTTTCAAAGAGACCCTACAAGTCAAGACTTTAATGAGTTCTTAATTCGAAGTATTGAGCGTATGAGTCAACATATACTGTTGGAATCATATGGAAGGGGTGTTAATTCACGCTTGTATGAAGCAGGATGGCAGAATGAATGGTACAGATCAGCAGTCTCTGTAGTCCCAATTGGAACATCAATAAGTGCCAATGTAGGTTATGTGTTTGGTTCAGATGGTTATCTGGACTATTATGTTAACGGAGAAATTTGCTGGGGAATTGAGCTCACACGCGAGGGTAACCGTTTGGCTGAGCATGCAAACCGATTTTACGAAAATGGAAAGTATAAAAATATTCCATTGAAAGAATGGATTATTCTCGACTTCCGACATAATTCTAAAACAATAAATGAATTAAAACAAAACTTCTGGTACATTCTCTACTCAGATGATTATTCATCTGTAACCATCAAACGTTATGGGTATGAAGATAAAATTTGTTATCTGCAAAAATGATGCAGTTTTAGTATTAAAAAATTTTTTTTGGATTTTATGCGAACATATACTTAATTTTGTAGATTAGCCGGTTAGTTACATAGCATTTTTATTACTAATAAAGCGAAAATTTTATTTTTTATTATTTTGTAATTGAAAAAAAGAGACTGGCCAATTAGATGAAGTGAATATAATAAAAATTGGAGTGGCGAGTTGTTCTCGCGATACTGATGTCTAATGTTACTGCGCATTTATTTATCAGAATTCATTCGAGATAATTACACTCCTTTTTACATGTATTATTTCATCATGCGTCATAGATGTAAACGTGAAGAATCTTCGCGATCATAAAATCACGTGAGATTTCGGAGGGAATTCACCTGAACGCTCTTTTATCAAAATTTTATTGCAATTTTTTTTTTGACAGCGGATTTGACCTTTATATGATTGCAAGTCAAGATCACACGGTAGTTATGAAATACCTCATCAGTGTCGTGTAAAAAATTTTTATTAATACATGCGAAAATAAATACAAAGGTTCGGGACGTATCCCGCGATACATGACGAATTTTCTATGCTAAAACCTATTTATCTGACTTTCCGGTAAGGTTGCTCGATGACCTATGCTTTTTTATTACCCTTTCTTCACTCTGAGCAGACTATATGACTATATGTGAGAAATTATTCTGTTTCACAAGCCTGCCGTGTGATCAGCCACATTGCATTATCATTGCGCCCCACCAACTGTGAAGACTCTCCTCACTTATCACCTGACGTTTTTTATATCGGGAATGCTAAATTTATAGTCCCAGCATCATCACACGTGACCCGTTTCTCATATACATTCGATAAAATAATACTTTATTTATGAAATAAAAAAAAGTTGCCGGAATCCGGCCTACAATACATAAAATTTGTGAATATATCGCTACATGATTAGAATAAAAATACTAATTATTAGGGGTGTATGAGAACATGAACTTGCTTAGTGTCAGGGGACTCAGAGAAATATTTTCTAATCTCAGTACTCGGTTTCATATGTTCTTTTACATCTTTACCAAAATCATTCCTGTAGAGATCAAAATTGTTGTAAGTAACACGCCCACCAGTTACAAGCACATTCTTAAGATCATCGACAGTTTGTGTTATTTGAATATTAATAGTGAGTGAAAAATCATTACTGCCATCATCATCTTTAAAGCGAAAATTGAGGATAATGTTATTTGCCATTTCCTATACTGATACACACAAAGAAATGTAGTCAGTGAAAGTGCATGTAAGGAAGACCATTTTCCAAGTCATTTCTACCAAATACGTTATACATACCTTATTTTGCGTTATTTTCTCTGGAAAAGTTTTTTTTGTGGGAAGTTGACAGAACTTCCACATACATCTACATGCTTTATATCTTGCTGGGAAAGAGTTAAGGAGGTATGAGGCGTAATTAGATGCCAAGAGCTCTATAGCCGAAGGAGCTAAAGCATATGCAAAAGGAATCTTCATACCTTTTCACATGTAGATCTATCTTGCAAGATATATAGTTGGTTTTACGCTTGGCGATCTCGAAATTCCAAAGTCCTCAGCCTTTCATAATATATGCTTTTGTCATCACTATTAACTTATAGGGTAAGTATTGTGTTGCATGTAGACTTCCTTTCACATTTTCTCACATTTATTTGGGAAAAAATAGAGGTATTGGTTAGTATATATAACTTCTTTCGATATGCGAAAATTAATATATCACACGAGATCTGACTGGTGATCTACTTTTCTATCGCACAGAAGTACATGTATTATAGATCAGCAAATTCTTGATCATCGCTCTGGACTAGTTCGAGTATCTTAAACGGAGAGGACCATTATTACTATAGACATATTCATCCTCTGATTCAGTTTCAGAGTCAGATGATTCTGTTTCAGTATACTCTGAATCATAATACTCACTTATACTGTTAAATTCATGATAAACTTGGTTATTATGACCTCCCTATCTGAATTAATTGCGGTGAAATTAGAGAATAATAATTCGTAAAATGTATATAATAAAGGAGACAGTATATCAATATTATTTCTTAGATAATAAAGTCTTTTCTCTTCATTATTTTCCCAATATCTAGCATCACATTTATCAATTTTGTCTCCCATCCAAATTAACCAATTATTACCTAAAACTAAATCATATTCAGGCTTGTCAACAACTACAAAATTTTCTGTATCCGTTATTATCAGAAGTAGCGATCTTAACTCATAGAATATATTTGATAAAGAAATGGAAACTTCTTCTCTATTAACCCATCCTCTTATTATTACTTTCTTGCCAGCATTTATTGCGCCAATGCTAAACTCTTTTACTGCAGGATATTCTGATCTGAATTCTCTAGTAATATATAAATCAATTTTTTGGGCAAACGCTTTACTAATACTGCTATAGTAAGATTTGGAGTCAATTAATGCCTTAATAGTTACTTTTTCATCAACAAATGTATAGTCTACTATTAATCTTCTACGAATTTCTCGAATCACTTCATCTTTCCATATTTCATTTATACTGCAACATTTTTTAAGATCCTGTATCAATAGATTCTTTATAATAAAGGTATTAATTCAGGTGTAAGCTGATCAAGCAAATTAACTATATACATTTTATATGAGTAGAAGAATTTTCAATCGGGAAAAAATAGAGATAGTTGGCATATATGTTTTCTTTTTCGAATATATATGCAAAAATTATTATGTTGTACAGACCTATTATGTGATTGGCCTATTTTTGTCACACATGAATACATGCATTATGGTCTAGCAAATTCTACTGAGCTGAAAATTACTGCTTCAGATTACCTTTGCTTAGGTTAGTTATCCAATGTATGCCTCTCAATAAGTATTGTATCCCATTTAGATTAGCAATACCAGACCGACTAATATAATCTTTAAACCCAATTATAATACTAGTTACTGACTCTTTTTCTGCTTGAATAAGTATTTCTACTAATTCATGATAATAATCATTTTTTGCAATACATCTTATATTTTCTCGTATTAATCCACTATAAAATTCACTTCTAAAAATGACCTTTACAGATTTTGACAATATCATTACATTTCTTCGCCTTTAAACAGTAATCCACTATTGATTCTTCACCTTAAATAAACAATATTGTCTAATCATATTTTCTCTCGAAGTTCATGCGGATAATATGGCAATTTTATCAGACTTAATATTTGCGTAAGATAAAAAGCATCAGATTGTAGAAATACATAAAATAATGACATTGGATTTTTTATACTGGGCAAAGTATATACAAATTGCTTAAGCGCTTTCTCCTCCAATGCCTGACTGCCTTTGTCTCCCAATAGGTTTTGATTATGCAAAAAGATTGTTCCAGTATCTTCACTCATCGGGATTCCTTACATTATCTCATTTATATTTTAATCCAAATTCTTTGATAAATTCATTATAAGCTTTATCTGTTTTGTCATCTAATATTTTGCTAATAGATCAATTATACTTAATAAAAAAAAATAAAGTACTGGTTAGCATGCATAGCTTTTTTTCAGTATATGCGAAAATTAATATGTCACATAAGACTTGACTGATATTCTACTTAATTTTTTCTGTTGTACAATCTGTGGCTTAGCAAAAAATCTTCTGAGCTAAAGATCATCACTCCAATTGATGATCAGTACTTCAAACACAAAATTGAATATATGCTAGCTAAAAATAAACACAATCATGACAAGTGATATTAATCATAAATTAGTTCAAAGTGAAATACTTGAAAATCAATTATATGAAGTGCTTTATTATAAGAAGATGGATATATTAGTTATTCAGAAGCACATAGCTAAAAGAAAACGTGGTTTGAAATTTCACGCAGACCCATCTATTAATGAAAATGCAAACCAAACAGGATTGAATCAAAACAAGAAAGTGGTAGCACTTGCTTGCTTTGATAATATAAGTATACTATTTTTTGATTTGGTGAAGAAAATTATATCGATAGAGGAGGAATTTGAGGCTGGTAGTAACCCAATCCTTGATATATTACATCGATATAGAGAATATCTTATCAAAAGATCAACAGGGAAATTTTTACTTAGAGAAAAATACCATTTGCTTTTATATCTGGAAGCGAATATAAGCATGATTTAAGCTTATCTTGATATTGTCAGTTATACTAACGAAGAAACGATAAAAGAAGATACTGAAAAAGATGTGAGAACATATATTCAAAAGTTTAGACGTTCCAAGTTTGGTAATACAGAAATTCATCAATAGGGGTAAAATGTTTTATTTTACTAGAGAGGGATTACTGTTATTTCTAAAAGTTTCTCCTCAACAATAACATGAAGTTTTCGTAAAAATTCAGTTAGTATGGACCAATGCCCATGTCTAGAACAGGTTAGTTAATTTATATTTTTTGTTCTTTACACAGTAATCATTTGGAAAAGATTGTTCAGGATATAAATCTTTTTCTCTCAATTCGATATGCTTTCACAGAATAGGTGCACTGCATCTGTACTACAATCAGAAAATATATAGAGCAGGATAGAGAGATTTATCTATCACTAAAATCTGTCTTCAGGTGAACTGGACTCAGATGATTTTTCGATTTCTTCAGGTGTCATAGCATCATATAGATAATATATTTCTCAGCCAATGCTTTTAAGTTTTTGATGTATCTTTGTTACATCACGCTCTAATGCTATAATAGAGTCTTTGATCTCTTGTATAGTACTTATCTTTTCTTTTTTCAAATATGTGCAATACTTTTTAGAAGTCATTTTTCTATTTATGAAAAAAATAACTGAATATTTATCATGCCTGAACAATATCTATAATATTATGTTAGCGCTGTAACTTGTCTTTTTGCATGCATATACGCCATTTACTAGACAATTAGATTGCCATTACTTTGAGCATCTATTCTATTTTATCATTTAACCTTTCGCGATTCTCCTCCTTGGCTATATCATAGTAAAGCTTATATAATTCCTCTAGGCTAGCACACAGATCATTATCCATATACCTTTTGCAATAATTTTCTAGCCTTAAAGTATATGCCTCTTCATTAGAAAACATCTTGACTATGACTGTCTTAATATAATTATTCAAATTCTTTTCAGCTCACAATTTCTTTAGATAGTCTCCATAGTTTTTCGCAAGATTATCATATTTTTTGTCCTTTCGCAATGCAGTTTTTATAACTTTGACTTGTGCAAGTTCTATATCTTTATAATCGACTATTTTATATTATTTCTACTATAACGATAGAAAAACTTTAATTAATAAAATTATATTCTTTGATAATTTTTACCCCTGAAAAAAATATTTGTTATAAAATATCTATTCTTTGACTTGAAGTCTAACTTTCATAGCCCTTTCTTCTGCTTTCTCAGGAGATATTCCAGATGCTACCAGGTATTTATATAATCTAATTCACCAATGTTCATATGGGAGAGTTCAAATTCTATCAAGTAAGATCCAGCGCTTATTATTATATGGATTCAACTCTATCTTATTTACCCTTTCTAGATATATTTAATAATTGTAACTGTGTAAACCATACATATCATGCTGAGTTAGTTTCTTATCTCTAAGACATTCTAAGAACTTGTCATATCAAAGGTCCCTTTTGACCACACATTTCTTTACACCCTTTACCTTTTGGATACCATGCTTCTTTTTAGGGTCTTCTAAATCAGGATCATTAGAAATTTTAGGATCATGACCTGCTAGAAGAACTAAATACATTTTTGGCTTTAAGTATACTGATTCACCTATTTGATCTCCTTTTGTCTCATCCTTTATTAAAAACAAGTCTTCTGAATAGTTAAGATCGAAAATGTCTGGTCTTTCTGCTTGATCTTTATAAATATTCTCAGTTTCTATTCACATAATAAGTGAGTCTATATCTGTATAAAGTAGACGAGCCTTTTCTTCATAGTAAGGCTTTATGTAATCGTACCAAAAGTTAAACATCATGATCTTGCTAATGTCAAAAATTGCCTACTCTACATAGATTAGTTTATTTAGAGTTACTGTACTTTTTAACATATGAACTACTATAATTCCTCCTTCAAATGCTTTAAAACCTACATATAATGATGAACTTGCTAGATGCCTAATTTTTTATCCTCTTCTATTTAGAGTAATTCTACTCTCATATGTTTTTGAACATTTTCCATCTGTTTGCCAAAGACTGCATTGTTCTTTAGCTTATAATACATTACCCTAAATTCATCCCATTAGCTTTAGCAATTTTACGCTTACGAATATTTTTTCTCAATATAGTCTTTTATCCATAGAGACTGCTAAAATTTAAGAGTATCATAAATCTTTGTAACCTTCATTTTGAACTTCATATATGTCTAAAGAGCTCGATAGTGAACTATATAATTCTTCTTAATAAAGAGGGTCTGGACTAGCTTCTCTCTAAATACATATTTTCCATTTCTAACTTCTTTATCTTTCACTAATCTTTCGTTATATAGACTAAGCCAGTTTTCTGATACTATCTGCTTTTTTGATACTAAAGGATAATCTGCAAAGAAATCATATAAGTGTACTGGGGCTTCTAGATCAACTTCAAGTATATAGCCTATTTCTGCATTTGGTGATATACTTTGGATATCTGGTACTTCCTCTGGACTTATCTTACCTAGAATTTCTGTAGGCATATATTAGGTTATCACACCTGAATATAAGGCGTTCATATTATCATACAAGATATAGGACTTTAGTTTGCTAGGATCATAATTAGGACATTATGGATTATTTGCTTTAGCATATCGTTAGTTTACCATTATCATGCCATCACGAATGCTATTTTCTACCGTTAAATATTTATCTATATTTATTATGAGTTTGAGTTTTGCCCCGCTACTTTTGTAAAGAGAATCATTAAACATTCCAGATGCAGAGACGTAGTGAGATGAATCTAGGTCATCATCTTTGAGATACATTATGGTGTAATTAATGAAAACATCTGCAAGTAGAAGTACATCAGTCTCAAGATAAAGGTCATAATATTCTTCAAAGTTCTTCATCTCGAATATTTGCCATACTTTTTGTGCATACTCGTAATCTTCTTTACTAATATTTTGCTGATTAAGAAGTGAATAGAAATCCTTTTTAGACGAAAGGCTTGTTCTGTCGAATTTTTCTCATGCATTTGTCCAGTCATATGGAAAGACATCCTTTTGAAAAAGAAGCTTTATCTTATCTATTGAGTAGCCTTTCTTTATAAAGTACTTAACAGTTAGAGGAAATTTTTTAAGCTTTCTATCTAAGCTTTTTACTAATTTATCTAGCCCCATTTCCATATATTGAAAGCTATCTAAGAACCTAAGCTATCCTACGTCTATGGCTTTGTATTTTTCTATATTCTCTAGGATACAATTTAGCTTATTAGCCGTGAACTTGCTTATAACTTTTATAAGCGAATGAGAGTCATATCCCTGAAAATTATAACAGATAAGAGGCACTTTGGTTTCAAAAGAACCTATTTGTAACTTTTTATTACAAGAGTCATGAGCTGGGCTTTGATACTTTCCATTTATATGATCATAATCTTTTACTTTTCGATTAAGTGCACTTAAAGCTTCTCAGTATCTTTTCTGTATCTCTTTCTTTTTTGAATATTCTTTTTCCATGTATGATTCCCATTCTTTAATTTCTAATAAATTATGCTTTGCTTCTTCGAGTTTTTGTACTATCTCAGTACTGATTTTAAAAAAGGTCCCTTGCAAATCCAGCATTCAGTCACCTCATTGTATGCTTTAAGATCTCCTGGTGCCATTATCATTTCTGCAGGTACAGATAAGTCTTCCTATATATTTGCCAGCTCCTTCTCGATTTTTGTAACAAATCTTTCAAGCGCATCTGGACTCTATATAAATTATGACTTATGATTTCATAGTTAAGTGAACTATCTATATGAACAACTACATAGTAATAGCCACACAGCTTGTGCATCTTTAATCTTTTGGTATGTGTTAACTTCGTCTTCTCTTCTGGGTTAACTTTTCAGTTAACATTTTAAGATTCCAGATTATTCAATATGGATTTGGTTGCATGCATTTATGATTATAAAAAACTTTAACACTCCTATTCTTTACCGGCATTTGTAACCATTGAGAGGCATTATTTAGACCTCTGCATTTTGGCAAATGTTCATTGTATCTTATCTCTGAAGAGTATATATAAAGACAATAATGGCAGAGGTATTTTCGCCCTTTATGTTTGCTATGATTGTATACCAGCTTATGTAAATCTTTGATAATACAGTAGTGACTTCTTTCTTCTTCTGTAATTACTAGAAGATTTACTTGCTTATATTCATCCCCTTTTCTTTCTGAAACATAGCAAAAGTTAAGATATTTGTTTTGATTGCCATTCATAGACACATAAACTGATTTCTGGGTTATTTTCTTCAAACTTTTTATAAACTGGTATTGAGACTGATATTGGAATTGGGATGTCTTCTATATTAAGCTCCTCTATGAAATCTCTATATAGCTGATGCGAATTTCTTTCTGAATGAACTTTAACTAGATGCAAAGCTTCTAGGACATACTATCTGAAATACCAGTTGTCATTATTTTGAATATTAATAATTCTGTTATTACATTTTAATATAATTTTAGGTAAAGGTATATAGACAATAGGACCAATCAGATTGAAATCAGATATCTCTATACTAAATTCTTCTATATATTCTGAGTAAGCATCAGACATTTAATATATTAGTTAACTCTAACCGTCGCACTATTACTTGCTTATAAATTTTTTCTTTAATTAATTATTTCCTATTCTTTTCAGTTTCTGATTAGAGTCACCACCTAAGGCGATATTTGCAAGTTTGCCAAAATGGTTCTAGCTATCTTTCTGAAACTGAAGCATTAACTATTTATTAATTAATCTTTCAAAATTTAATGTTAAAAAATAGGATGATTGGTGAATATTTATATCTGTATCTTTGCAATACTGGAAAGGCTTGCAATAACCCTTGCATTCGCTCAAAAGGTTGCCGATTTCATTAGAAAGCTAAAAATCTGGTATTATGTTCTAATTGCAGGAAGCTTACAGTTTCTGCTTGTGGCTGATACCCGTTACATGTTAGAGGCTATTATGTTATTTAGTATTATAATAGGCTTCAATCAGAAAATCTTCGATTGGAGATGTAAAAAAGGCTTCAATTAGAGATACATGAAAGACTTCGATCTGAGACACAAGAAAAAACTTATGAGAAAATAATGCTTACCCATAGAGATGCGCTTGCAAATCTTAATATTTCTTTTTGTAAGGAATGCCTCTATCTAATAAAATTAGAAGAGGGAGAATATTGTGATAGATGTCAGCCAGAATAAATAAAAAGATTATTTTGGCTAACTCTTTACCTAAATTTTGCTAGAATTTGAAAGTGTAATATTAAATTGATATTTGCTAAATTTTCATTAGACTTGCTTTTTTTTTCGTTAAAGGTTTATAATGTATATGCTATTTAACGAGCTATTATTCGCAAAACCTGTTCTTGACTAAGGAAAAGTTAGGGCAATTCCGCTGATTTTTCTGGATTTTTACAGAAGTTATTTTTATTAGACTTTATATAAAACATGCTAGTTAAGGAGTTATTCCGCGCAAAACCAGTTTTTTATTCATAATTTTCATTAGACTTATTAATGGGAAATTTAGGACAATTGTTTGACTTAAAATTTTTTTATTAGACTTAAAGATTAATATACTTTTTTCAAAGAGCTAGCTCACTTAGAAGTAGTTCTTGATATAGACTTTTCTTAAATATTAGATATGCTATTTAGTGATTTGGCCTGCTCTAAACACATTTTTGACTTAGGAAAAGTTGAGACAAAAACCTCGTTAAATTTATTTAAAGATTATGCAATTTAATAAGCTAGCTTGTATAGAAGTCATTCTTATCTATAGTAAAATTCATTAGATTTAAAAGATCATATGATTTTTTCAATATGCTAATTAATGCGTAAACCTTTGTAGAAGCAATTCTTGATTAAAGAAAAGTTAGAACAAAACTGTTAGACTTATTTTGGTTAGACTTAATTTTTCATTAGACTTATTTATGAGGTAATAAGGACTGTTAGACTTATTTTAGTTAAACTTAAGTAATTAATATGCAATTTAAAGAGTAACTCGTGCAGAATCAATTCCTGATATAATAATTTTCGTTAGATTTAATAAATATAACTAAAAAGTTGATATAGAAATTAAGATTCTAAAGCCGTTAGAAGTATTTCAAATATATTAATAAAATTGATATGCTTTCTGAAGATAGAGAACCCACACAGAGCTTTAAAATATAATATTGAAATTAAGATTTTTAGAGCTGATAGAAGCTCTTCTAATATAATAAGAAAAATTGATATTGTTTTTAACGTTCTGTGGACCACACATACAATGTTTTAGTGAGGGCCAGACCTTCAGTCCTTAAAACCCCACTTTTACATTGTGTAATAGTGACATCCATAAAATAGCCCATCCCATATTCATAATAACCATAACATACCAATTTGAAAATATATATTCCTTGAATTTTAACAAGATTTTTGTATATTTCAATTTCTTTTCGAATTTTATGCAAGAGATCAGCTTCCTTATATAGATCAATAACCTTCAAAGCAATTAGCTCTTCATGGAATCTAACTCGAAATGTTCTTCCAGTTTATCTACATCTTAGAATACTCTCAAGCTTAAAATCCTTGTAGCCATAAGTCTGTTCTTCTATTCCTGTTATAGAATCTTAATTTTCAGAGGTCTGGTCCCTAGAATCTTGCTGGTTGTAATAACTACTATCTGAACCCAAACTTTGACTGAAACTTTGGTTATAGAAATCTGAGTTTTGAATTCTGAAACCTTGTATTCTGATATCTTGTTTAATTTATCCTGAAATTACATTTAGATAAGGTAATTTAGGTTTACTTGTTGCCAGGCGGACTAAGTATGTATAAGTTTTGAATACTAGCAGACTTATTGACTGTAATAGAAGAGATTCAGAAATTAATAGTATTGATAGATCAGTGACCATATAGTTGTAAATCTGACTAATTACATTAACTAAATTACTACGTGCATGACTAGTAAAGTGTTCATTAAATAATTCACTTAAACTAATCTCACGTAACTGTGTCATAACACAATCTCTTTTAATTTCTATGCTTATGATTCTTTTTCCTGTATGATCATTAAAACCATCATACTTTTGGCAAGTGAAATCTGATTTTTAAAGGCCAATGTTTGGATCATCAGAAGTAAAGTCAGAATCTTTTGTTTTAAAACTCAAATATTGAGAACAAAAGCGAGTTCAATATATGAAAGATATTAAAGTTCATAGCAATTTCAACATTATATTCAATGTGAGCTCTTATACCTTCAATGAATTGAGGCCTACTAAACTTTCACTCTCTTTAATCAAAGCTGAATTAAGTTACTTCTTCAAGAAATCCATTCCAGAGAATTATTCTTGATGGTCAGAGACCCTTACTATACATAGAATGTGTTAAAGTACTAGTATTCAGAAGATAAACAATGGTTGGAGAAATGTATAACAGATATTATTCTTCATTTAGGAGACATTCTAAAAGTATAAAAAACAGATTAAGATAATATTACAAGATGTAAGCAATAAGAGTGTATATAGAATACTTAATAGAATAAATTTATAAGCGAGTAGCATATCATTATGTCTACTCTATACTATTCTATATTCTCAACGCTCAAGTCACAAAGTCGCTACCTGTCTGCTGGCCTAGAAGCATAGTTTGCTACCTTTGCAGCTCTTTTCTTTCTTCATAAAGAGAAGCGAAAATGGTCTTCCCTTCAACTATCCCAAGAGCTTTTTTGTTTCTTCAATTTTATTATCAATAGCCCTGATTTTCTCGTTTATTACGTTGATGATCATTATAGTTAATTTTGCAGAAAGATACTATTTGAT